CCACCAGAAAAGGAGAGAGCAGAGCAGCCCCGGCTGGCGGCGAAGGAGGCGGGCCGTGTCCTCAGAGCCTCGTCCTGCACCGGCGCAGGAGCCACAGCTGAGTCTTTACAGACGCGAGCCAGAGCGACTGCTCAGCGTCTCGGCCCTACGCAGAGAACTGCGACCGCAGCGCTAGTGAAGCAGCGATCGGCGGCTGCGCTTCGGCAGAAGGGAGAAAAGGGTATTTCTGGAAACGGGGGCTCAGCCATTATCAGGGTAAGATATTTATGAGGGAATGAGTCTAAAAATGCCACTAAAAGCTTTCCAGTTCCTTTGTTTGTAGCACCAGCAGGCACACAGCACCCTTCTTCACACACATTATTAAGGTTGCTTTTACATTCATTTTCCAAGAAGAAAATCTTTAGCAACAGTTATCAAGGGATTCATTAAAAACCACGAGATCTCAGCAGTGGCAAAGCCAGAAACAGAACCCAAAGCTCCCAGCCCTCATTTCTTTTTTCCTAGACCTAAGCAGGGTGTCTGCATGCCCAAAATAACGATACTGACAGGGTATGGCCACAAAAGTTTCCCTGTAACAGTGAGCATTGTGCGCGAGTAAAATCCCTGGCATAAAAAAGAAGAAACAGTGCTCATTCTTCTCCCAGGAGAGCAAAAATATACGCTTCCCCTCACAGTTTGGCACGATAAGGCACAGTCCTACAAACAAACATTACAGACTCCACCTTTAGCAGTTTTGGGGCAACAGTTTTGTTTAAGAGATTCGTTCCAAGCTCACGGGAGATGCGGTTGGATGGCGGCGCTGCTCCTCGCTCCCAGGAGTTTTCGCCGAGTAGATGGAAGAGGAAATGTGGGCGCTCTGTCCTGGCTCTGGCAGCCTGTTACCGTACCGTTTTACAAAGCCCACGCACTCAATTCACAGGAAAAGAAGAGAGAGGGAGGAAAACAAACAACAACGAAAAAGCAGGTTCCATACCTCCGCTTCGTCTGTCCGGAAGTAGAAGAGAAAGTTGACAACAAGCTTCACGAGGCGTTTCTTTAGCACTGCAAAGAAAGAGAGCGTCAAGGTGGGCTGAAAGGCCGAGCCAGCCGGCACAGGGGGGCAGAGGGAAGCGCCCAGCACGGCACTGATTCAACCAAACCTACGGGGAAGCTCCGGTACAGTTTAAACCTTTAGAATCATAGAATCATTAAGGTTGGAAAAGACCTCTAAGATCATCGAGTCCAACCGTCAACCCAACACCCCCATGCCCACTAAACCATGTCCCTAAGCGCCTCATCTACACGTCTTTTAAATACTTCCAGGGATGGTGACTCAACCACTTCCCTGGGCAGCCTGTTCCAAGGTTTAACCACTCTT